TTGATTCAGGGTTTGTTTGAAATGATTTGTGCTTTGTGTGTACAGACACACAGAAAAACACTGAAAAACACAAAAAGAAGGACTGTAATACACATGTATGAGACACGCTCCCCCTTGCTATAATGAAGACAACAGTTTTTAAATGTAAAAACACTTTTTTATTTTTTCACACACACAAAAATCAAATAGTTATACTGATTGCAACATCTGCAGGACCGTCTCCAGCTTAGAATTCCCCATATGACTGGAGATATCGTGATGGAGTTTTTTCACTTCAGTCAAAATATTCATGTGTATGCTGCTTTCTACACAAAGATGCATTACATCTACAAACAGAGCATACACTGATAGCACATGATACACTTTTGATGTTTGTTTCATTTCTGAGATAATGTTACAGAATGTTTCGGAAAATGAAGATTCCAGGACCACTTTAAATGTTTCGTTTACAATCGTTTCCCAATGACCAGGAATAGTACTGCCAGAACGAACGATAGCCAAAATGTCTTCTAGTTTACAAACTTCAGCCATTCTGTTTACACAGGGGTCACTACTCGTTCTGTTTTCAATCGTCCTCATCACCACACTTATTAAAAGGGTATTGACTACATTCTGATCAATATATACAGAGCGTTTTGCATAGTAGTTTCCCATTTTTATTTTACTTTAAAGAAAAAAGTCCCTGGCTTCAGTCAACTGCTGGTTATTAGTCTTCTTCTTCTCCCCCCACTCGGCATGGATCTTTTCAAGTCTCTCCTTGAGGCGTCTGCAGTTTGTGATTTTGAGACTTTTTACAGACACTCTGCAGATTTATGTGTAATTCTCTCACAAAGGAAACAGTAAGTCTCTTACTTTTTTTATATGTATGACAATTTACAACTGGTAGAAAGTTAAGTACTTTTTCTGACCAGATTTTTCTTTAAGACTGTGACTCTTAACACACCAGAGAGCCAAACATACTCACCCCCTTTTCAACGCCCTCCCCCCAGCAGCTCAGGTGTGAAACCCTCATACAGAATGTCAGTCCCTGTGTAAAACTTTTTAGTGACACTCTGCAGATTTGTGTGTAATTCTCTCACAAAAGGAACTGTAAGATACACTTTTTATGTATGCAAAACCTTAAACATTTCTGAAAATAAAATACTTTTATCTGAATACATTTTCTTTAGAGGCACTTTTTGATTTTAACGCTATTTCAATGGAGATTTTGAGACTTTTTACAGACACTCTGCAGATTTGTGTGTAATTCTCTCACAAAGGAAACAGTAAGTCTCTTACTTTTTTTTATATGTATGCCAACTTACAACTGGTAGAAAGTTAAGTACTTTTTCTGACCAGATTTTCTTAAAGACTGTGACTCTTATAGGCCTTTCTGCTTCCATGCAATCTGCCGCTGAGTACACTTTGCTTGCCCCCTCAACACTGTCTTCAATGGTGAGTAACATACTGGTGATTCAATAAAGCACGCCCCTATTTAGTTGGTGGCTGAAGACAAAGCCTGGGTCCATTCTCTAGACTCTATTCTAGTCACATTCTGGAATAATTGGTGATATTTAGATTTGTTTTGTATTTACCCCTCATGTGCTGAGTCATTAGTCAATATGTGTAAATGTATGGAGCTTTAGGGAAACTATACATTTATTGGCACACTGCAGAATCTTTATGCCATGTAACAGCAAGTGTCCACTCCCCCCGAGAACATTCCTGGACTTCACCCAAAGGGAGTAGAGATGATTTGTTTTTGCATTAAGAACGACAGAGAACATTTCTCTTTTAAATGGGTCCCAAAAAAGTTTCCCAATGACCGGAATAGTACTGCCAGAACGCACGATATCCAAAATGTCTAACTACTAATTATTGTCGTCTTTCTTGAAACTGACGTGCTTAAATTCTCTGAGAAAGTTACTGAAGGATACACTTTTGTGTATAAAAGCTGAAAAGTAGATAATGAAGTAGATTTCGTTAAGAATCTTTGACAGATTTATGCTTAAATTCTCTGAGAAAGTTACTGAAAGATACACTTTTGTGTATAAAAGCTTACAAAGTAGATAATGAAGTAGACTTTGTGTCCGTGTGAAACCCCATACAGAATGTCAGTCCCTGTGTTACAACTTTTTAGTGACACTCTGCAGATTTGTGTGTAATTCTCTCACAAAAGGAACTGTAAGATACACTTTTTTATGTATGCAAACGTCTTTTACAAAACAAGTTATGTTTTCTGCTTTTTCATCCTCTGAATTTTCCTCCCCCGTCCCTCTTCCTTCACCCCTCACAACAACAAATCAAGGTGGATCTGTGAAATGAAACACCTCTTCCCAAAGCGTGACTTCCCTATTGAGGGCAGTAGGGTCTAAATCGATTGACCAAATATACTAACATGCAGAACGTACGGTATGTTTTGAAAAAAGACTAACCATTTATCCAGTTCAAGCTGTCTTTAAGATGTGACATTGCGCACTGACTATTTCCCGTAAAATCGTGACAAACTATTACTTATTCTTAAATTTGATCTCTTGCTGCATGGTTGAAAATGATAGATGAAAAATAACTTTTTTAAAAAGAGTCAAGTTTTTCATGATCAGATACAGGTCAAGAAAATGCATAGAGGAGGTATGGTGCTGGCTCATTAGCCCTCTCACTCTTCTTAGAATGATCCTGTGCAATTATAGTTAATAAAAGTAATTACACATTAGTTCACAAATCCATATACTGAAAGAGAATACCCTTAGGTATCACTATTAAAACCTAAATAAGATCTTTTGAAAATAACCTCTTTTGCAAAACAAATACTTCTTTAGCAGTTTCACAAAAACTTGAAAAGAAACATCCTGAACGGAAGAGGGGGTGAGTGGTGGGGGATGTGTGTGTGTGTGTGTGTGTGTGTGTGTGTGTGTGTGTGTGTGTGTGTGTGTGTGTGTGTGTGTGTGTGTGTGTGTGTGTGTGTGTGTGTGTGTGTGTGTGTGTGTGTGTGTTCCCCCCTCCCCATCGCCCCACCATTTGCCCTGCAGAGGATGTCGGGGGTTTTATGAGGCCCCCACACGTGTCTTGACTTGTCTTCAGACTGTTCACCAAACTTTTCACGGCAGAGAATAGCAGAGAGAGAGAGAGAGAGTGAGATTGACAGTACTTTTAAAAATATATGGTTGTATATTTCTTGTTATTTGCAAGTATTTGTAAGTTACAGTCAATACTGCTGTATACAGGGGCACAGGAAGTGGTTAGGTGGCGGGACCTTGCTCTTTAGAGCTGAGACATTACTTTTAAAATATATGGTTGTATATTTCATGTTATTTGCAAGTATTTGTAAGTTGCAGTCAATACTGCTGTATACAGGCGCACAGGAAGTGACAAGGTGGCAGGGACATTGATCCTATGCATATGTGATTCATTATAAAATTATTATTTTGTAAAACCGTAGGGGCAGCATTTTATTTTCTCCTGGTTGTTACATTTCATGTTATTTTGCCGGAAGCGGGGGCGACCGGTAGGGGGCAGCATTTTTTTTTTTTATCATTTTCAAATTATTTTCAAATTTTATTTTGAAAACCGGCAGGGGCAGCATTTTATTTTTCTCATGGTTGTTAAATGTCATGTTATTTTATTTTGAAAACCGGAAGCGGGGGCGACCGGTAGGGGCAGCATTTTTATTTTTAATTTTTTTATTTATTTTTGAAAACCGGAAGTGGGGGCGGGACTTCCGCTGGAGGGGCGGGGCTTAGTCGGAAGTGGGCGGGGCTTAATAAGTAGGGAGAGGTGTGACCTGTCACACCACCTGTCACTTTCTATGCATACTAATGAGACGAAAGTGGTATGTGTATAACTACTCTCACCAATGACTGCAACTCAAGTAAAGAAACAATAGAGTGCAAAGAGTCATATTAGAGTATTCATCATCAAAGAAGATCACATATCTGTTTTAAAACAAGCTGAAGAAGGTCGCTGGATCCTCATAATCCTCTTCCTCCAGCTGGGCGTCCTTACAGAAACGTGGAGGGATGAGTTCTTGAGGCTCCGCTAATCCAATGACGTTGTTGAAGAAGCTGAAGGTTAAATACAATACATTTTCTCATTCAAATGTTCACTCCTATAGGGCTATGCAATGAGTAACACTAATGACAGACTTGAAAGACGCATGTAAAATTTGAAGATAAAATGACACCTTTAACAAACAAAGTAAGAAGTATCTGACTTTCCTTATGTCTTTGTCCACTGCACTGCCTCAAATGATCTCTTGTTACAGGAGGCACTTCAGAGACAGTACATTACTTCAAAAATAAAAGCGTTTTGTGTAGCAGTAACACCAATGACGTAATTTTGGGTGACTGACATTTCTTTGATATTATTAATAATAATTTAATTTCAGTGTTATATTTAATGCTTGTAATGTTATGTAAATATAAATTAGATGTATTTATTGAAAAAAAATCTTTTAAATTAAAACTATAGGCTCCACCTCAATGTATGATCAAAGTGACAAAGGCAGTTCCTTGAACTTGGCATTTTAAATAAATTGCAATTTACGTATAAAACCATTTTTTATTTATTTTTTATTTAGTACCATTGCAAAGACAATCTCTATTTATTCAACATATATAATGAATGTGAGTATTAGGTCAACGTCATGTATTTTGGTGTCTGCAAAAGTAAGTGACAGTACTTCCACCTTTTCTGTAGAATGACCCAATTATGATATCACTACCCCGTCAAAAACACGAGTGGATCTGACTTTAATTACATTTGATTTGAGTATTTCGTCAAACTTAATGTGTTGCTTAAAATAATACTTCTGCATACAGTATGTGACAATGTAAGTGTTGCACGGCCATATACGGCTCGGCTGACTCAGGTAAGGAAATAGATGATATATTATGATATTATATGATCGATGATCTGATTGATAATGTGACATGAATGATAAGTGTGACACGTCGGCGTCTTCTTCATACGGCAGTTTAAACTGTATTTCCTTTATACTTAATAGATTTAAACTCCGCACACTGAGCTCTGATCAGGCGGTGCCCGTGGTTTCACTGAGTTGATCTATTTTCTATAGACAGCATCAGGTAAAACAAGTTATTTAGCCTTCCCAAATCTGCTTCACGCGCCGCCTATGCGCTGGAGTGAACGAGGACATTCCAATTCATACCTGTGGACTGCTCTGTCCTCGCGCTCTCAGTCCTGCTATCAGTATGAGAGTAGCAGGAATAAAGCAACCAGTCCTCATATTTATGATCATTGGGCTCATCTTCTACGTGCGCCACATATACGTAAAGAGTGGATATGATGAGGATACAGCGGGGTCCAAAAAAGAGGTTGAACACCCTCGGGTGATCAAGAGTCTATCTGACCTGGAGACAAGCGTCAGCCACCTCTGTGAGTCAAGGATATTATTCGTTTTTTCTAAGTTCATGTTACTCACATTTTATGTTTTTATCGGGTTTAATCAGTCTGTTACAAATTAAGATGGGGAAATTGTAAGGAAGTTATGTTTAATTGGAACTTAACTTATAGACATTATGTGCTTTTATCTTCATGTTTGCATGCTCATTTCATTCAAATATATCTGTGATTATATATTGATTAACTTAAAAAGGCCCGAGAAAATGGCAACTTTTTTAAAAGGTAAAACAAAAATAGGAAACAAGAGTGAAATAAAATTAACAAACATTTATTAATGGGTATATCCATTTTAATTGATTAATATTAATGTGTTGCTTACTGAGGTTCAAAGTACATGTGTGCTATTGCTTATTGTACATTCTAAACTGATCAAAACCTGCAGTAAGTAATTAACATAACGCAAAATGGCATTAATAATTTGATTAAACCAACCTCCAAATGTAATTTCTTTAAATATCCCCCTGGTTGCGAAAATTAACTTGTAAGATATTTTTCCAGTTTGTGGTTTATTTTCTCCAACTATCATTTACAACAGCAATTGTTTTCTTACAATATAATTATAAGTGCTTGTCAGGGGTCAGCAATACATTTCAACCTACCTAAAATGTGCTGTTTTGCCCATATCTGAGCTTATTTTGTGTCACTATTGGGTGTCAAAAATGGCTTAAAATGTGCCAAATCTGGTTTAGGAAGTCAAAATAGTTACAGGTACATCTCAATACATTTGAATATCGTGGAAAAGTTGATTCATTTCAGTAATTCTATCTAAAAAAAGTTAAACACATTATATAGATTCATTTCACACAAAGTGAATTATTTCAAGTGTTTACTTTATATGTTTTAATCTAGAATAGATGATTACGTTTTACAGCTAATGAGAACCCAAAATGCAGTATCTCAGAAAATTAGAATTTTTTAAAAAGTTAAATATTGTAGACTCACACACTCATCAGCTAATTAACTCAGAGCACCTGCAAAGGTTTCCTGAGCCTTCAAATGATCTCTCATCTGGTTCAGTATAGGCTATACAAGGATGACTCCTGACCTGACAGTTGTCCAGAAGACAGTCATTGACACCCTCCACAAGGAGGGTAAGCCTCAAAAGGTCACTGCTAAAGAAGCTGGCTGTCACAGAGTGCTGTATCCAAGCATATTCATAGAAAGTTGAGTGGAAGGAAAAAGTGTGGTAGGAAAAGGTGCACAAGCAACAGAGATGACCGCAGACTTGAGAGGATTGTCAAGCAAAAGCCATTCAATAATCTGGGGGAGCTTCACAAGGAGTGGACTGAGGCTGGAGTCAGTGGTAGCCTACATGCCAAGTCGATTAACTTGCATCCCTGCGTCCCTCACTTGCGTCTTTCCTTGCGTCTTATTCCTTCCCATCAGGGATGCATAGACGCAAGGAAACCACGCGAAGGGAGAGGATGCAAGGAAATGTGTTTTAAGAGCCATGGGACGTCCTTTCCGCAGAGCATCATGTTATGCGACTTCCGTTTGTGATGACAGCGACATGCATCTGGATCGACTGTCAGTCGCTGCAGAGTTTTGACGGAGTTTGGGTTAGCAGCAGACATGTTTGCTGATATTAATAAAAGGCACACAGTTATCACTGCCAGAGCAGCAGCAATGAGTTACCTGTTTCACATAGGCCTGTCACGATAATTAATTTGTTTGGACGATAAATGTTCCCGGAAATTATTGCGATAAACGATAATATTGTCGGCACCACACGGAATGGGGTGGTTGTGTTTCAGGTGCAGTTTAAGGTTGGCCGTATTGCTAGCTTTTGTTGCTACCTTTTTAAAACAAATGCGACACACCACCCGGCTCATTCAAGTCCGTATAGGTTCGCCTCGTTGATTTGGCTTAAATCCAAAATATTCCCACACCGGAAATGTGGTAGGCTATTAGGTTTTGCAACCACTTCTATTTGACTTCAAATTCCCCTCGAGTAAGTCACACGTTGTCTCCTGCTTGTCGCTATATTGTTAATTTGGATGCTACACAGCTGCAAGTGCACGCGGAGTGTCTGACTCCAGACCTGTGTGTGTGTGTGTGTGTGTGTGTGTGTGTGTGTGTGTGTGTGTGTGTGTGTGTGTGTGTGTGTGTGTGTGTGTGTGTGTGTGTGTGTGTGTGTGTGTGTGTGTGTGTGTGTGTGTGTGTGTGTGTGTGTGTGTGTGTGTGAGCCCCGCCCCTCACAGCGCACCTTACCGGCAGACACAACAACGCGAGCGCGCGTGACCGGCAGACACAGCCTGCCTGGCTAAAATGCCGGTCACATCATTATTTAAACAAACACGCATGTAAACGGCAATTTATCGAGCTCAGAAAAGTCATCGAGTCCATATTTATTTATCGTACGTTAAGTCAATTTATCGATTATCGCGACAGGCCTAGTTTCACGCACACCTGCACATTAATAACACCCTGTTCTCTGACATTTTTCTCTGTACTGTGTCGTGTTGGGCGTACCTGTTCTACGGCAGAATGCGTTTATATTATGAATTAAGTTCCTCTGGCACATATAAGCGCCATGGAATGCTCCTTAAGATGCATGGCGCACACATTTATTTTTCTGTTGAGAGCGAGGAAATTACAAATAAGAGACTGGGCATGTACCCCGTGTATCAAAAGCCACCATGCACATTGCACAGACGTATCCAGGACATGGGCTATAAGCAGTGGCGGCCGGCCCATATGGGCGCCGCCCACCCTCTTCCCACATGTTTGATTGTCATTAAAAATAAAAAATAAATAAAAAAATATTTTTATTTTTTATTTTTAATGAACAAGGTCAATATTATATAATTGGTATCAGTAAAATGTATGATCTACAATAAAATCTCGTTTAAAATTGTTTTACGATATCTAAAGTTACTGATAAGTCACATGTTTCCTGCCTGGCCGCAGCGTGTATCATTACCCTCTCTCGTCCGGGCGGTAGAAAGGAGCCCTCAGCCAGAGCAGCAGCAGCCAACAAGCTGATTGTTGCTATCTGTATACTATGCCGCCGAAACATAATTTCAGCCAATCAACGTCGTCAGATCTGATGCTCAAAGGGCGCCATGTCAGCACCCTGGCCTGTGTGTCTGTGAGTTGTTTGGACTCGTATCCATAGGCGGCGCGTGAGGCTCAGGTTTGGGAAGGCTAAATAACTTTTTTTTCATCTTACGCTGCCCGCCTCCAGCATCTATAGAAAAGAGATAAACTCAGTGAAAGCACCGCCTGCTGACCAATCAGAGCTCAGTGTGCGGAGTTTAAATCTATCGTCATATTACAGGAAAAAGGAAATGCAGTTTGAACTGCCGTATGCAGAGAAGATGCCGACGTGTCGCACTTATCATTCATATCACACTGACATCACATCATCAATCAGATCATCGATATCACAATATTTCCTTATCTGAGTCAGCTTCTCGAGCCGTATCTGGCCGTGCAACACTTAGTTACATTGTCATATACTGTATGCAGACGTATTATTTTAAGCAACACATTAAGTTGACGAAACACTCAACTCAAATGTAATAAAGTCAGATCCCCTCGTGTTTTAGATGGGGCAGTATCATAAAACTGTTGTACGCTTTCAAACACTCGGTAGTTGATTTTGTAACGAGTTGTTCTGTATTCTCCTTACAGGCAGTGGCGTTTTTATATGTACAAAAGTGGTGGGGCACAAAAAACTTAGATGTCTATATATAAGCTTCTGCAGTGAGGTTCATGTCCTGGTGAGGCTATGACTCTTCAGGTTTACAAATATTATATTTTGACCTAAATCAAAATATAATATTATTTTCAAAAGCTTTTTTTGTCTGATGCTTCAATTAATTTTAAACAGACAGTTCAACAAAAGGATACCCAAAAAATGTAATTTTATCATTTAAATATTGAATTGTTCTCTCTTAGTAAGATCCCATTTTCATGGCGGTCGTAAAATTGCAGTCTTACCTTGACATGAAGATGAAGTCCATTGGCCTATCCTTCTGGACAAAAATCTCTATTACTTTTTTGTAAAAGTCCTCCTTATGTTCTTGTAGTTTCAAAAGTCTATCATAAATCTGATCTAATCAATAGATTTATGATTCGAAAATTATAAAAGTAGGGTAGACATGTGGATATTATCCGGCTGAACAAAACGTGCATTTATCTAACAGGTTTGTTTCCCACAGATCTTATTTAGAGCTATTTTCTAAAATCCTATGGAGAAATATCATTGCTTTTTTGTGGAGGGAAGCATGCGCAGTTTATTTCCGGGTTTTAGAACGCCTCACTGCAGCTCTCTCTCCTCCTCTTCACACACCACACTTTTCGCGGCACACGTACTTACAGCCAATCAGCTCTGAATGATGTGAGATGACGTATGGTGGGGATGGCAGCACTATGCCCCTATGGTCATTATTTTGTTGCCACACACATTAAATAGGACAATACTCTGAGCATGCGCAGTGTAGTTTTTACAGTCACCATTGACTTAAACAGGGAGAGGGAGGGGCAGGATCGGGTTTTGTCCCACATGGCTCTAAACAGCTCAATAGGCACACACTGTAGACACTAATTAGAAGAACACAGACTAAAACAGCAATGTACAGACAAATCAGATGAATAAACATGATCTTAAAATATATTTTATATATTTTTTAATTTATTTTTTGCATTTTTTTGTAATCATTACTTTTAATACTTTCTGCTGACACTAGGTGGGGCTGTGCCCCACCTGCCCCTAATGACCAGTCGCCACTGCTTACAGGTAATCCTGGATTATATGTTTAAGTCATCATGGATGTTTAAAGTTCATATTTGTCTAATATTAGTTTACTTTTCATTAATGAAGTATGATGTTGCGCTGTCAGTACAATTGTCCCTGTTTGTGATTGGTCAAATGTAGCTAACCCCACCCCAGTAGTAGTACTAATGCCACTCTCGTCTCATTAGTATGCATAGAAAAGTGACAGGTTAGGGTTAGTCCCGCCCCATAA